CAAATGTTTATTAACAGTTATTTACGCAAAATACTTCGGATCCGTTGGCCAGACACTATCAGCAAGAACCTACTATGGGAGAGAACAAACCAGATCCCAGCGGAGGAAGAAATCAGGAAGAATCGTTGGAAGTGGATAGGACACATATTGATGAAGGAACCCGACCGCGTCACAAGGCAAGCCCTCACATGGAATCCTCAAGGTCAAAGAAGAAGAGGAAGACCAAAGAACACATTGCGCCGAGAAATGGAGGCAGACATGAGAAAAATGAACAGAAATTGGATAGAACTGGAAAGGATGGCCCATGAAAGAGTGGGTTAGAGAATACTGGTCACTGGCCTATGCTCCATTGGGAGTAACAGGCGTAAGTAAGTAAGGTCTTTGGCTTAGCGAATGTGAGAATAGCACGCTAGGCGGTTTGTCAATAAAGAATCCGCTACCCTTAGTATAGAAAAATGGACCATTTACAGGTCAGGAGGTGTCTTTCTTCAGGTGAAGCAGTTTTCAATGCATATAGTCAACAATTCGGTTGTTGGTTGAGCCATTAAGACCTAGAAACCGGGAAACGCTAGGAGAGGAGGGGGCCTGCCTATCGGATTTATCTTTTGGGATCGAAGACGACCGAACCCTGTCTTCTCTGACTGTCTTTGTGCTTTGATTACTTGCATTTCGTTGATCGCTCCATAAGAATATTCGGATTTGATTTTATTCGGTTACGGCTTTTGAGCCTTTTGCAGATGGCCTCAGAGATGACTATTCTTACGGAGACCCAAAAGATATTACTTATCACTCCCAGGTTATTTCTAAAGTACGTGTTATCAATATAAGTCACTTCATGTTTTGTGATAAGTGTAAGATGTTTAGGTCTTTGAACGCGCTTATAACGGGAGATCGAAAAATCCCTGTCACCGATTGGGTACCTACCACTTGAAGACGTTCAAGGGTATTTATTGTCTTTCATTAGATACGGATAAGCCGCTTAGGTACAGTATCCACGCAATTCGCTAGATCCGCTAGTAGCTTTCACACTACAATTTGTCTTTGTTATCGAACCATGGCCTACTAATGCATCTAAATGATTATATTATAAAATCTTTAACAGCTACAATCAGATTCTTGAGCTATTCAGAAAGGGGAGTGTCAAATCTTTTACTTTAGGTTGTCATTAGAAGCAGGGTCTTTAATATTTTTCAGGCTCGATTTTTGGTTGCAGTAACACAATAGTCGCGGTTTCGTGTGTCCGATGTCTAACACTATTAGAGTTTTCAAGTCAATTGTTCTAGAAATAAAGTGATTTTCTGCCGTTTTTTACTTTTTCTGCACTTAAAGACCCTATTTGCGTTCCTCTCTGTGGGCCCGCTTAACAATTTTAAGGGTGTGAAGAAAACCCCGTCGTTGTATATACGCATGTTTATTTTCAGCCTCGAAAGGGATGCAGTGCGATCACATAGTGTGCACTGGACTCACATCGGCTGATTGTAAGAGGTGTTTTAAGGCTCTACTAAGTTGTTTCGCAGCTCTATGAAGTATCTGCCGTTTAGTGAGGTGACTGAGTAGCTAAACACAACTAGAAAAATACCCCCAAATAAACAGCTAACAGGATTTGAGAGGGGTTATCAAATATCAAGGAAGCAATAGGTGTCACAATGAGTCCAGTCTTAGATCTTGATAAAACCACCAGGGTAGTATATCCGAAAAGAAGAAAATTACAAGAATCTCCAAAATATACAAACTAAATAATCGTCTTACATAAGCACCTAGACCTGCATATTTGTCGCCCGACCGTACTGCAGGGATGAAAAGTTTAGGAAATAAAACGTCAAAGCTTGTCAATACAGATCTCGCAGAGAGGTAGCTCATTTTTCGTGGGTTAAAAGCATATTCCGCAACGGAAATAAAGTTTACGCCTGAGCACGATCCAAGCCGTACTAAGTCTTACATAAGCAAGCTACTTCTAGAAACAATAGCAGAAGTTAGGATTCATAAGTTTCACAGGGCAGGACAAGAACATTATTCCAGAAGCATTCAGGTTAGCCTTTCGTTATAATTTAATTTTGCTTCCGCTAATGAAAGTAACCTAATACTAGAGAAATCACGCAAACCAACTTAATCAGCAACATATGTCCTTGCGAATCTCTGCCTGGTTGAACGTATTAAGAGACAAGCGGTTGTGATATAAATAAATGAGTTCCACTGGACTAGTGAAAAACCTTATGCCTAGGAGTTTACACACTGTATAAGTTCGGGACAAAACAATCCCGAACTGACCGGGTGGGACGGCAAATTATTTCACCCAGTTAAAGGTGTATTATTGCTCGCAGCCTACTAAGGAGTGACGGAAACAGAAAACTCTGATGTCGCTGCTATCTCAGAAACGTGGTTAAATTCAGAAGTGTATGGTAGCGAAATTCAATTGCTTGGGGCTTTAGTTTGTCGGGCTGACAGACTAAACCATTAAAGTTTTGGTTATCCCCAACACGAAGAGCACCGTAACCGTACGAGCTGTAGATAAGAATATACGACTTAGGGACAGGTGAACAAGTGTGTTGCTGGCTGAAATACAAAGGGAAAGACATTGAATTGGTTATGATATAGTGTAGTCCAGAATGTGAAGCTGATAACTCCTTCCTAAACAAACTTTTAGGGTCAGGGAAATGTCTCTGGTCTTTGGCCAAATGATTCAGGAGTCGCATAAGGGAACGTCGAACAGTTCGCGGATCCGTGTCGAGCACGAGGACAACCAATGCGCATATTCGTAAGAACTAGGTGAGCCTACAGATCAGTTAACCGTGTTCTATCTGGAATTTTTGAGTATTTTCCTAAGCTTTGTGTTAGAACTGAACTTGAGAACTGGGTTTATATAACACGGTACTGCTTATTACAAAATACTAAGATTCTACGGACTCTGGTGATTCCAGCTCAGTCTGCAATAGGTTGATGGGTATGTTTATTTACTTACCTATGGTGTCTAGTCGAATATCGATTTTATAATAAACTGAGATCACAAATGCATCCCGCGGTTAAATAATAACATTCAAACAGGTTGAAATGGTTACTTAAATGAGACTAAAGGAAGTAAAGGTCCTTAAAAGTTTTGTCTCCAGCGCGCATAGCGCCCATAAACCGAAGAGAAAACAGAAACAAAGGTCTGGCCATAAAAAAATGTATGAAAGAATCCTTTTTAACACGCGTTAGCAAGCTTTATTGTTGGAACCATAGTCAATCAAAACAGTAACTTGAAATTCGGCAGTAAAAGTCAAGGGCAATTTTTAGACAATAAATAAATGTTTCACGACTATCAAAGCTTGAAAATGTTAGGCCAAGTAAACACTCTACGATGGAAAACCAACAACGTGTTAAAAAACTAGGTAAATTTAGTGTAAATAGACTAATTGGGTCGTTCGAAAAATTAATTGTTAAATTATAGACGAAGTGAAACGGTAAAGAGAGAAATAGTTCGCACAATGTCTTATTGAGAATGTGAAATGTCCTGGGTGCCACCATTTGCTCTAGAATATGTGTGCAGTGACTCACGTTTATCACGAGAACACGACTGGTTTAATAAAAACAATTATTATTATAACCAACTGTACCAGTGTTTGTTTCAATGTGCTTTTGTTTAACTGTGCTAATTATAGCCATTTTGTGCTTCCATTACCTTCCATCATTGTTCCGCGGTTTTTGGTACTGTTCGCACGTACTCCTGTCTTCTGCTCCCACTTGTACCATTCCTTGGCACGATCTCGGTATTTTGAATTAGTGCACCACGATGTGAGACATTTAAACAGAAACACATCACATTAACCGGAGATGACTCACTCCACTATGCTTAGAGAAGCGACCTCATTTGAGACAACACCCCTTGGTTTTTTATCCTTACGTTCCCTAAATCATTGTCATGTCCTAGACGAGTGGAAGATGGGGCACATCACCCTGATCAATGGAGAAGTTCAACACGTTAATCTATTATTGTAGTAGCAAAGACAAATGTACTGATATCGCACTAGGTCATAATTCTACAAATATTCACAGTGTATCCAAAGGTATCGTCAAATTGAGTTCAAGTCTTACGAGAAGCCCCTTAAATTACCGGATCTATACAGTTTAGAGAACAGTAGACTTAGAAACTACTTTTTAATGGCACACAGAATCCTGAGAGCTCTTCATCATCCTCTAAAATACCTGATTAGTTGGCTAAAATTACACATCAGACGTTTTTAAATTCTCGCCCGCCACATTAGACAAAATACACATGTAGCGTGGCGTCGAATTGAGATTAACTATGAACACCGCTACCAAGAAACACGTGCCAGATAAATCAGAAGGCGAAGATCGAACGTAACCAGATTTATTTCGTTGGTGATCTCGTGGTATTGAACGAATACCGAGATCGTGCCAAGGAATGGTACAAGTGGGAGCAGAAGACAGGAGTACGTGCGAACAGTACCAAAAACCGCGGAACAATGATGGAAGGTAATGGAAGCACAAAATGGCTATAATTAGCACAGTTAAACAAAAGCACATTGAAACAAACACTGGTACAGTTGGTTATAATAATAATTGTTTTTATTAAACCAGTCGTGTTCTCGTGATAAACGTGAGTCACTACAAAAGTTTCTACTCATCGTAATCTTCATTAGTTTTTCATATTTCCAGCCGTCGTGAAAAAGAAAAAAAGAAACCGTAAGTGTATGTCGAAATACACTCGTACATGCATAAGGATTTATTTGCCACTTCCAGTGTGATTACATATAAAATATCAAACAAAGGGATATGGTATTGAATCGTTATAAATGGTTATTAAAGCTCCTAAATTTACGTGTTAATGTGTAGATTCAATAGTATAATCCAAGAGATATGAAGTAAGGCGTGTAAGAGAAAGATTGGTGATGGCCTCCGGTGTTCTGTCCTCAGAGCTTGTAATATAAATCATTGAATATTCTCGGCCTTCCGAAACGCGCGCTCTTGTCGAGTGTGCTCGACGTCTTCAGAAATTTAGGATGGCTAGCCCAAGGACACGGCGAGTGCTAATGGATGTCAAGAAAACAAATGCGAACCATGTATGTCATTGTTTGCCTTTATGTGGATGAATGACTGTCGTTTCCATTTTTTTCTTGCTGACTTAGTATCCGTGTCTCATTTCCAGTGCGGCCAAATGATCGACATTAAGTTAATGAGGTGGAGAACAATATTTTATTCTATTTTTGAACGTTGTACCCTGTACCTTACACTAACTCATATCTGATCGGCCACAAAGAGGTGAACTAGATCTATGGAGAAGAAGCTGGACCTTCACTGGAAAGCAAACTGTAAGGATTAACACAAGTTGACCAACCTATTATCCTTATTACTGAAGACTGAAATCAGAAAACCTTACTGAACTACTAGTGTAGCGATCTGCGTATAGCCAGAGGGTACTTTATGTACTAGAGTAGCGTAAGTGAGGAGGGCTGGAAAAGAGAAGAACAGAAGAAAAGGTAAGTTGACGACCCAGCAAGCGCACACAATTCACTTGTATTTAGTAACGAGGTCAGTCGATGACAATCAGAAGTAGCGCATACCTCGAATTAAGTCAGTCTTGGGATCGAAACTAGGATCATGTAGTTTAACCGACTACTCTGCAGTGGTCTGAATTATATATATATATATATATATATATATATATATATATATATATATATATGTATAAACTAGTCAAGTACACTTTTCCAACTGTCGTTTCAAGTTGATCATCCCGTCAGGAAAATGGTTCACAATAAAAAGTGTCATGTCTGTAAAATATTTAACAGCAATATTTCTACCTTGGGGTTTCGCTGATTTTCAAACCTTACTCTGGGAATGTAGTAGTACTTGCTACCTATTAATGTTCATCAAGCTGTAGTCGTATGAGATATTATATTGCTGCATAAATTCTTTAAAGATGCCTAATGTCGGCTATCAGCTTTATTTCCGAATGTAAACATTTAAGTATATTCACAGTTGTATTGCTTGCATCCAGGTCTCAAAAAAATGAGTACTGAACAAAGTTTTACCTGGACAGTCATGATTTCAAGATATATCCTATTAAACCAGAGGTTTTATAATCAGTATTTATTTTCATTTGTAGTTATGTTTCGAATGTGGGTCGCCAAATCCTCAATGGGCTAGCGTTACATATGGTATTTGGATATGTTTAGAGTGTTCAGGAAAACATCGTGGATTGGGAGTTCATTTGAGGTAAGGCGTTTCGTAATAAGTATTGTTCGGTTATTCTAAAACCTTTGCTCTGGTTTTCTATCGTTGTCTCTGTGAGAACTGGTTAATTATCACAGTGTTAAAATAATGAGATAGTTGTCTTACGGTTTCACAACAACCTTCGTAATTGCCAGGTCTATTAGTCTCTGCAAACGAATTTCTTGAGGTACATTTTTTGAAACCAGTTAATAGTGGTTCTACGACATAAAAAAACTGGTAGAAATTAGTTTGTATCGTTATTGAAGAAATATTTTTTGGTCTTTCTTTAACATGTTAAGTAGTGTCTAATGTAGTTTTATTTTTGTATTATTCTCATAATCAGTTTTGTTCGCTCAATTAACATGGATAAATGGAAGGAGTTGGAGTTGGAAAAAATGAAAGTTGGAGGCAACAGACATGCTAAGGAGTTTTTCGTTTCACAACCTGATTACAGACCTCAGTGGAGTTTTCAAGAAAAGTATAATAGTAAAGCTGCTGCTTTGTTGAGAGATAAGGTTAGTACAGTATAGTCATTATCTTGGTTAACCAGTGACCAAGGTATTCATTACTCAGTAATTACATTATAATTAAATTCATTTAATCCACTGTGGTCCTCCAGTGGGTTGTTTGTTGGACTTGTGTAGGAGTTAATATAATATCTCTTCTCCCAAACAACTGGTAGAGCAAGATTCTGTTTTGTACCTCTGGCTGTACGTTTGGTGCTTAAATCACAAGTTTCAGATTTACGTTCTTGCCCAATAATAGCGGATTACAGCGAATTGTGTTGCGTATAACTAACCACCACCTACCTTGACGCTCAGTGATAATTAGGGTAGGAGTATATTAAAAGTTGGAAGCAGCCACATCAAGATGTAACATTAGCCTATAAAGTTTTTGAATTTTTTGTCGGAGTCATGTTGGTATGTGTAGGCTACCAGGTCAAATTCTATGCAATAATCGTGGTCGGTGTTTGTAGATCCTGGATGAAATGGCTTTAAATTTGATCACAGTAGCTCAAATGCATTTATTTTTCACGTTTCTCTGATTCTTGGGCTTTGATAGTATTCTATAATTTTTAGTATTTTCCACTTTCTTTCTGACTCATATTCTTTATGTTAAGACCTGTATATTATCATTGATACTGCTGTTATTTTGACTCCTTTGATATTCGTTTCGCTAATCACTTGTTATGCTGATTTGATATAGTAACTTGTGCTGAGGTTCGTTTGTGACAGGTTCTACATTGACCATAACGGAATGAATGACGTACTACCCACCATATATGTACATCGTTGACTTGTTGCTATGTTATATATAATGAAATTTGATTAAAATAACTGTCCACTAATTTCTCAGCGTTATAGATTAATCCATTTAATTCCACTGCTTACTAACATTCTTAAGACACGGAATTGTCCTTGTAAATTACTCTAGAAATATTTGGTCAGTACTTATTGATATTAGGAATATCTTTTACACTTTGTTTGTTAAGTCGGTTGTGAAGACTTCTGCACAACATGAAGTTCAAGTAAATTTGGACTTCAAATAAAGCATCCCAATCACCACGATTGAAGGTGATAAAGATTTGTCATTCAATAAATGTGATCTTGGAAGTGTTTTGTATTTATAATTTAAATTTACTAAAACCTTTTTGTCTTACAAGATAGCATTCATACAGATATTGGGTGAAAATGTATTTTCCACGAATAATTTGTTGATACCTTAACTTTATGTGTTCCGTTGTTTTTAGTTGCTTTTCATTATTGAAAACTAAACAGCTAGTAGCTCACTTCTTCTTCAAGTATGTGATAATGATGTCTGGAAAGACAATAAAAACTTCACGATTAAACCACCCAGGTCAGATAACACATAACTCCCAAAATCCTCGTTCAGGGCTACAAATCTTGTCAATTATTGTTGGATGGTAGATTTAACTGGAATTTTAACAGTACACTTGTCAACTGTGGGCTAATTTGGAAAGTTAAGCTTGAAAAGTTTGGAAATATTCTTTTACCTATATTTCCTCATAAAATTTCTGTGTAGTGTAGACTGTCAAGAAATTTAAGTTCAATTAATGCGAAGTTGAAAATAATGTTAGCATCTTTCGTCCGACTATTTAAGAATAATTTTACGGGTTTAAACATCACAACTTAACTTAGCCTTTTGTGATTTATAATTAATAGACCTTTAGCAGTCGTCTGATTAATGGATAAAATGTACCAATCGCCTGATAGTATGCAATAATACAATATGTCCAAGTGATAACTGCTCACGTGACAAGATTGCTTAAGCAAGCCTTTAAATGGACTCATATTCGATTATAAGACAGCTGACTGGTAGAAAAGGTCTTTTTCTAAAAAATAACACGCTCATTCCTTACCTATTTATGTTTATTTCTTGGATATGTAACTCAGGAATCCAGAAACGATTTTAATCCATTGGGTTACGAATCTCAGTTATGTTCCACCTACTTTTAGTTTGTGCAGCATAGTGTGATCTCTTACCCTTATCTGTTAAGTGTGACTCAGCATGGAGCACACGTGAGCACACTAATCTGCTTTGGTCATTTTTTTATTGTTACAGATTGCAACTGAAGCGTCTGGTGAGGATTGGGACGAAGACGCCGCTAATATACGTAATAATAAACCTACCAGTATAAGTCATGTAAAAACAACCGGTGATCTACCATCTTTATCCTCAGATAAACGAGGGGGGGGGCGGGGGGGGGAACTTTCATAATCATAATGATTATCAAACCCCTGACTATTATCCTGGATCAAACAAAATGACCAGTTGCCATTCAGATTTGGAATCCTGGTTAAGGGATACAAACTTATCCGAGGAGCATGATTCATCTAAAACACCAGCAACGAAGACAACAACAACTTCTGCCAATGCACGTTATGATAAAGTTCCAGATTGGGCTGAGTATGTCAATTTTCAATCCCTGTAATTGCTATGTTTACACTTTGTTTAAGCACACGATAGTTGTTCAGTTTGTATTACTATATGCTCCAGTTGTGAATCGAATAATACTTATTAGTTAAAGTGTTTAGTTTTGTTAGTCAACTTAGAGACTGAATAGTTCTCGGTATCTTGTTGCATAAATTTTCGTAATTCCGTAATAATAAATGTTTTGTAGTCTTTCCAATTATCAGCGTAACATCATGGTATTTCGTGTTTAGTCGAAAAATTCGTCTTTAATTTTTGTATCGAAGATATTTTTTGAATGAAGTTTGGAGGTGTTTTTTCTCTATCAGGTCTATGATAGGTTTCAATCCTACGCATTCCACGTGTCATTTTAGTAATTTCGTTTAAGGATTCACACGTAACCTACCTTTTTCTCATTTTATTAGACTTGACAATTAAATTTGATGCCGATTGTTGACAGTAGCATAGATAAAATCGACCTATCTATACTGAAAATTGACGTCTTATAATAGTCTGTGTCCTTTTTAGCATTGTAACGACAAATCCAGCTGCAAAAGGTCAGATACATACAATGTGTTGGTGAGACTAGTTTTGCTTTTTACTTGTGAGACCTAAGAACAATATTATTACCACACTAGCTTCAATTTAATATTCAAACTCAACTCACTATTAATCAAAACTTTCATAACTTCTTCTTATGCAACGCTAACATTTATCGTTTAATTATACTAAGTTTTAAAAATGATATCATTAGTTATGTTTGTCTTGACACGGATAATAAAATACCACCTAGTTGTGGGATAATTACCTTTTTTCCTAATAATGATCTATAATAATCGAGCCAGTGTTAGTGTAGATCCAATTTTTAACATGGTCACATTCACACAAATTTTGTTCCTGATTATGCCGTTTCTTGTGGCATTTCCGTCACTGGAAGGACCAAAGGATGGTTTCATAGAATATGATTGAGCAACTTTTTGGCATTCTGAGATTCATGATTCTCATTTTTGTAAGAATCAGGAACCTTATGCAAAGTTCGGCTGCCTCATAAGTAGTCACAACAGTAACTTACTTACGCCTGTTACCCCTAGTGGAGGGGCATAGGTCGCCCATTCAACCTTGTCCTGGGCAATCCTATCCAGTTGCTGTTCATCCTTTTCATGTCTGCTTCCGATTCTCGACGCAGCGTATTCTTCGGCCTTCCTCTTTTCTGTTTCCCTTCAGGATTCCAAGTTAGCGCTTGCTTCGTGATGCAGTTTGCTGATTTCCGTAATGTATATCCTATCCTTTTTCTAATTTTCTCTTCATCTGGAAGCTGGTTTGTTCTCTCACACAGTAGGCTGTTGCTGAGGAGGACATTGAGTATCATGGATAGACATTTGTTTATAAATACTTGTGATTCTTTGGTGATGGTTGTAGTAGTTCTTCACGTTTCAGCTCCGTACAGTAGGACTGTCTTGACTTTCGTATTGAAGATTCTGACCTTGATATTGGTTGACAGTTGTTTTGAGTTCCATATGTTCTTCAATTGTAGGAATGCGGCCCTTGCTTTACCAATCCTCGCCTTTACGTCTGCATCGGATCCTCCTTGTTTATCAATGATGCTTCCCAGGTACGTGAAAGATTCCACATCTTGCAGAGCTTCTCCACCAAATGTGGTTGGGCTGGTGCTCGTTGTGCTGTATTTGAGGACCTTGCTTTTTCTTTTGTGTATGGTGAGGCCTACTGATGCAGATGCTGATGCTACATTAGTTGTCTTCATCTGCATTTGTTTGTGTGTATGAGATAGAGAGGGGCCAGGTCATCTGCGAAGTCCAAATCTTCTGATTGATTGTGAGCTGTCCATTGTATTGCATGCTTTTTCTCATATGTGGAGGTCTTCATAATCCACTCGACCACCAGAAGAAAGAGGAAGGAGAGTCGGCAGACTTGTCTCACTTTGGTCTTCATTTGGAATGCATCTGTCAACTGTCCTTCATGCACGACTTTGAAATGTAATCCATCGTATGAATTCTGTATGATGTCGACGATTTTCTCAGGTACTGCATAGCACCGACATCGTTTCCATAATGTTCCCCTATCCATACTGTCAAACGCCTCATAGTCAATGAAGTTGATGTATAGTGACGACTCCCACTCAACTGATTGTTCGACGATGATCCATAGTGTCGCGATTTGGTCTACACGACGAACCCTTACGGAATCTAGCTTGTTGATCTCGAAATTGGGCGTCTGCTGAGTCTTTCATCCGGTTCAGCAGCACTGTTTAACTTTTCTTGGTTTTGACACACAACAGTAGGAATAAGCAGAAATCAGCCTCAGCGAAGGAAGTCGAGCAATTTTATAAGGTTGCTTTTTACAGGGCTTCATGGGATTGTGAACGCCAAAGTGGCTGATCGATATTGAACTGTTGTTCGAGAGTATATCCATCCCAATCATAAATGCGATTCCTCTGCCTACGAAAACAGTCCATGGATTTTTTGTGCAGTTCCTTTTTATGCGATGTATATGTCAAATCCATTTATAATTTTCAGCAGAGGTAAATACCGGAAAACGTGAGCATCTGTCTTCTGATTATTGCTGAAATATCTTTACTATGCTTCCTGATGACACTTGAATTGCGTTTCCATCTTGTTTCTTCTTCCGATGTTTGACTATTTTGTTTTTGCGGTGTCCAGAGCTAAAACAGAAGCGGAAAAAGTGTTTATTAATTGTGGTACATCAGAGTTACTAGATGTGGAGATATCATCGAAACACAGTGTATCATCATTACTAGGCTTGAAATTTTCATAAGAATATAGTGTTATGGAAGAGGCTTTTAACAATTAATGAGGCAGAATTTCAATTGTTAAAATCACTGCGTAGAGTGGTTATTTATAGATGAACACGATGATATGATACGTGATCGAGTGATGAATGGAATGGAGATAGATAGGTGGATGGTAGTGTTGGTGTTTTCTGAAATAATTCATCTGTAATTGATTTAAAGCGTTGTTGGTACCGATTAGAAATCAGTGCCAAAAACATTTTTGCCATATGATCACTATTTTATCCTTCTAAACAGTTGAAACAATGCAATGGAACCTTTCATAAAATGTCTGATATTGGATAAATACCTCTCAGTCATTTGATTTATTAGTCAGAATAGGTTGAGATCTCTGATACAAGTGCTCAAATCAATCTACATTCTTGCAATTCACACCATCATACGAAAAGGAGGAATCAATAAGTTACATAGTGGTTAAACAATCTTTATAAGAATCAGTGTAAATGTCGAAGTTTTGGTATATTTCTTTAGTTTTTCATCCATATATATATATTTTTACTTTTGAACTGTGCAACTTTTGATATGAATATTGTGCTTAATTTGTGTTACTAAGATTAAAATAAAGTGCTGTGGTGAAAAAGTGCTTAAAACGAAGTATCTTTCTTTATTTGTCTTATGTCAATTCCATTTCCTAAATATCTTATTGATTTTATTGTATTTTAGCTCTAAATTTATGGATGATAATGGTAAATATACGAATTCTTCGTCTAGGCATTATTCATTAGTACCTGAACGAAATGATAAATACTCATGGCAGTCAGTAAGTTGTTTGTGCATTTCATCATTAATCTTGTATTAACTCATTTATGAAGCCCAAGCTTCTGATACTAAGCTATGATCATCACTTCAGATGTGACCTAGGATGCATGAATGACAGTTCTGTTTAGTATTGATGATGAAAAAATGCAAAATCTTCTAATCGCATTGAACAACAATGCCAGTGTGGTGCGTTTGTCTTAAAATGCAAAATTTCCTCTCTAGGACCGATCTGTATCAACGCCTCAACTACTAAAGTTCGGGTGTAAAGTAGTTAGGCTCATCGACTACGTCACTTATCTTGAAAGTTTTATTAGCCCTGGTGGATTGATGTCATGGGAAATCAGGACACGAGATATTTATTTGGCAACCAAAGGACGAGTCTATTGGTTAGCAGTTCGCTCTGTTCTAGTTTATGTCTACGAAACGTGATCTTTTTTAACAATAAAGGATAGTTTACTAACATTTGGTCATATATGCTTTCAAAACATCGCTTGTGTATGGAGACCATCAATTGTACGACATTGAAATTAAGCAGAAGATGCTAGATAAAGGTGGAACATTGGTTGGTGAGGCTACAAATCACTATTGGCTAAGATAGCTGGGACATATATTACGTATGTGCAACATTTGTTCTGTAGGAGTAATTTAGAAGGAAGCTTAGTGGGAGCCGAACCAAGGTGTGACATCAGTCTATTATGTCATTGATTATAAGAGTCAGCTGTGTTGGTAGGTGCAAACTACCTGGTTATGGTCTACGTGTCTATCGCGACCAATAGTTAGGGACTTTGGGTAACATTACTCAAAGTCGGTCACAATAATGAGAATGCATTTACTCGTTATTTACCTATTAATCCTGAATTTCAAAATTGTTTTGTACTACTTTCCCTCTAAGTAATTCATTATTCTAAAATCATATCGTTTATGCCTAATGTTTCCTACTGTCACTGATACTGTCGCTACTTCTACTACTTTGATATTTGTTTTGAAAAATTAATTTCACTGTGCTTAAGTGGTGGGGCATTTCGATTGATAAGCATGTGTATACCAGGCTCTACGTTGGTGGTAACCGACTGACTGACTTCAACTAGATTTATCTCCATTGTTTATTAACAATGTAAGTAAATGCGTATAACTAGTGTGTCGTTCTTACACAGATTCCTAACTCCAATGACCGAGTTTTGTGTAAAAATCCTGAAACCAAAAGGCGAAATCTGTCTATTATGGAG